GGGAGATTTCCAGCAGCTACCACAGATCTGCTCTCACCTGCATCTTGTCTTGCTTTGGTCAATGCCTGCATATAGGCATTGCCAAAAGAAATAAGGAGATATGGTGAAGATACGGGGGATGTAATCAGAACCCAGATGTGTTTTGACAGGCTTCAACCTACTGCAATAAGAAGAAATTAAACAGGGCCACAAGTAAAGTACATCCAGGTCCAGGATAATGTAGATTGGATTTCAAAATGGGGTATGTATGGAAAAAATGAAAGTGTTTAGTTGACTGTGTGTGGGCGATGTGGCATGTGTGCCCAAAAGGCTGGTGTGATATGAGGCCACATTAAAAGACATGGTGTCGAGAATGAGGGAGGTGATAGACTGTCCCTATGTGTCACTCGTCAGACTGTGCCTGGAGGGCACATTCCAATAAAGTGGACCATATTGAGAAGAAACAAGAAGACACTGAGGCAACTTGAAGCAGTGTCCAGAATAGTTGAAAACCATACTTAGCATAAAGAAGAGAAACCTCGAGGTAACTCAGGGTATGTAAATGCTGTCTCCAAGGAGCTGAAGCCACACGTGTGGAATTAAAACTCGATTCCTAAGTAGGCTGTCACAGTTTGAAACTACCACTTTTTGCTGGCAAAGCCACATCTTTATCTGAGGGCCGCATCACCCTCTGAATGCTACATCTGTCCATTCAACTCTCTCTTGGATGCCCCAGGGCACATGAGGCCGTCCACCAAAATCCCAGGGGCATCCTTAACCCTCCTCCTTCCTCTCCCTTGCATTCATTTTGACACCACGTTTTGTTAACTCTGCCCGCTAAAAATGTCCCTAGTCTGTCCTTCTTCTTTTCTCTTGTTTTGTGCAGTGGCCTCAGCTGGTTTCCCTAATTCCATCTCCACGCACTGTGCCTGCTGAGCTTTCTAAGACACGGATTCCGTCATGTCGTTCCCCTGATTAAACCCTTTAGGGCCCTCTCTGTCATCTACACAAGTCTAAATCCTTTCGTGAGGGATCCGAGGGCCTCCACAGTCAGGTCTGTGGCTACCTGTCCATCCCCAAGCCCTGCGACTCCCTCCTTAATTCGCAGCAAGGGCATTTCAGGGCACTTGTTCTGCACGCGACAGGCTAGTTGGTGCTCTTGCTCATCTTGGTCCGTCACACTCCATTCCTCTCTTCTTCACTCATGTAATTCTTACTTGTTTTTCAAAACGAAGCAGCAGAGGCTCTGGCCTATATTGTTAGGCTAGGCTAGGAGTCGCAGCGCGGTGCTTTCATTGCGCCCTGTGCTCGCTCCAACCATTAACGACACACTGTGTTGACGCGCCAGGTCTTGGTGCTGTTGGCGTCCCTGGTGCCTGTCTCAGCGCCAGGCACACGTGAGGTGCTGGAACTGAAGTGACCACCAGAAGACCACCACCCGTGTTTCTGTGCCTCTTCGCCTACTCAGCCACGTTCCCCTTTAGGTTGGGCTATCACATCTTCAGGTGCCTTGGGGGGGGGCAAGTCTCTACTGACAAGTCTCTACTCAGAATAATGAGCCTCCTGGATCCTTTGCCCAACAGAACCCCCCAGGTGTTATCTTCACCTGCCTTCCCACCTCCACGACACTCGAGAGGCCACTGGCCCTTCCCGGAGACCAGCCCTTCACCAGATCTCCCTTTCGGCCCTGGGATCATTCTCTCAAGCAGCCCCAAGTGTTTCCAGGGGACGCAGTCTGGGAGCCCCAGCCTGTTTCCTCTGGAAGAAGCTGGCTGTGGGAAACCCCTGAATCTCCAGAGCTATGGCCATCTGCGCACAGACAGCTGGTCTCACCAGGGCAGCGCGTGCACGTGTGTGTGCGTGCACGCGTGCATGCGTATGGGCTCGTGTGATTTCTCTGTCGCCATGACAATCCCTGCAGTGTAAAGACCAAGGCCTCCCCCATTGGGCTGCCCTCATCTTCTGTGGGCACACAGAGACCTTTAGGCGGAAGGAGACACACATCCATAAAAGGAGAGACCCTGGATGTGTGTCTGTGTCTGCCTTTCTATGGTGCCTCCTCTCTCTTCCTCTGTGAGGATGCTGCTTACAAAACATTGGTTGTGACATGAACCCCAATGGCTGGGATCTATCTGTTCTGAAAGACAGGAAAGTGTTTCAGGAAGAAGAGCCGCAGACTTGCACAGGGGTTCACTCCCGGATTTACCAGAAGATGTCACTGTAGGCTTAAACCAGTACAGAAAGTCAGAGCAGACTGTCAGCTAAGCATGAAGGTGACTCTGTTATGGGGGTCTAAAATACCCAGCAGCCCCCATTATAATGCATGCCTGGTAAAGCCGGTTCAAAGATTAATCCAAATGTATCACTGGACTTCATAAATTTCTTTTTTTTCCAAATACTTAGACTAATTGCCACTAAGCTATTGCCTCAAGCATAGCATAAAGGCTCGATAAATATGTATTGGATGAAGGAGTGAATGAATGCCAGAACAAGGGGTGGAAGGAGGAAGCACATGGGAACGGTCACCTGTCTTAGTAAAGGCTGCGGGGCAGCAAAAACCGCTGGCCATTAAGCAGTGGGTCTTCACAGACGTGAATTTTAGTGGTTTAGGCAAAGTCCGGTCCTAGGAAAAGCAGTGAGGTAGGTGAAGGACGTCTAGGCCCCTTTCCATTTTCACTCCCAGATGCTTTTCCTATGCCCCATGCTTATTTATTCCAGAAAAATATATAAAATAATTTAAAAAGAAACTTTCTGTGGTATTTGCAAGGCATTTAGAAGATTATCCAGAAATGTTGTATGGTAAGGCATGGCTTTCCCAGTCCCCAGCTCTCTCCTTCCAATCCCCCGGAAGTTCTAGAAAAGTAGCACAGAGCCCCTGTTCTGGAAAACATAGTTTAAGCAGAAATACAAACAAGTAATCACAATTCCTTACCAAAAGTGTTTTAACAGAGGTTAAGTGTGGACATGCGAGCCAAGTGTGGATGTCCTGTGGTGTCACAGAGGAAGAGGTGAGGGCTGACAGCAGGGGGTATGGTAAGTTTTCTCAGAGAGGAGATAGTGCTTGGACTACAACTTGAAGGATAAGTAGAATTTTCCAGCAAAAGAAGGAAGGTCACGCCAAGGAAAAGAAACACCAGGCACAGAATAGAGGCATCCAGGATAGACCCCCGGCTGCCTGAGTTGCTCAGAGCCCAAGACTCTAGAGAAACGTTTCCTCAGAGGACATTAGCCAACAGACTCAGCCAGTGAGTGGTTGAGCTGGTTCGCTTTGGCAAGTGTACAGACCCAGCACTCTCTCGGATGGGAATGAATAGATTTCACAATAGATTTCATGAAAGCTGCCAGCCATTATCGAGGTTTCCTGTAAGAAACTAAATGCTAATACTCAGTGTGTTTTGTTGTTTTCTTTCTACTACATGCCCTTCCTTGACTTCATCCTTCATCCACTGAACCTGAGTGGGGAGAAATTTTTTTCTTAATTAAAAGCACCACCTGCGGGTCATTTCTCCTCTTGAGTATGCCTAATCGCTTCTTTTTTTTTTTTTTTTTTTTTTTTTTTGAAAGAGAGACAGAGACAGCATGACCAGGGGAGGGTCAGAGAGAGAGGGAGACACAGAATCCGAAGACAGGCTCCAGGCTCTGAGCTGGCTGCCAGCACAGAGCCCGATGTGGGGTTCAAACCCACCAACCATGAGATCATGACCTGAGCTGAAGTCGGATGCTTAACCGACTGAGCCACCCAGGCGCCCTGAGTATGCCTAATCACTTCTTAGGCTTTGACATTTCTGGTGTGTGGTGCGTGTGTGTGCACCCACTGTGTGCGTGTGCATGTATGCTTAAGTGTTTGCTAGTACACTCTTTGAATGAAGAACTTTATCATTTGCAGTTTTAAAGTGAAGATAGCCATACAACAAAGCCTCCACTCTTGTTGACACCCAGGTGTCCTTTCAGTAGGTAAAGAAAGGGGGCATTTTGGAGCTGACAGAGTTAACTTTGCTATGCTGGGAATATGAGCAACGTGAGCAACGGCTGAAACCGAGGTAGTAGCTTGCATATATGCCATTGGCAGCTACCATGTCTATTTCAGTCGGTGACTAACCGCAGTGTTTATTTCTGGAGGTCCCGGGCTGCTCTGCCTATCTGTACATTCCACTTCCATAACGAATGAGCCACGATGTTAAGACAACAGCCAAAATCAAAGCATCGTATCGACACTCTTTCAATGAGGTTTTATTTTTTAATAAGGTATCCTGTTCAGACTGGATATTGGGGAAATGCTTTTCTATATTTAGTAAGAAAGATTACAATTTGAGTTCACTTATCAACTCCATTATCACTTCAATAAAATCACTTGTGGGGCACCTGGGTGGCTCAGTCAGGTTAAGAGTCTAACTTGGGCTCAGGCTATGATCTCGCGGTTTGTGAGTTTGAGTCCCGCGTCAGGCTCTGTGCTGACATCTCAGAGCCTGGAGCCTGCTTAGGATTCTGTCTCCCTCTCTCTTTGTCCCTTCCTTGTTCATGCGCTCTCTCTCACTCTCTCGCTCTCTCTCTTTCTCTCTCTCTCTCTCAAAAGTAAATAAAACATTTAAAAAATCACTTCTGCTGGTGTCCATTTTATGATTAGTTGATGCAGGTTCAAGGGTGCGGGGTATGGAATAGAATGGTTCCCCTCTTAGCAAATGAGGTCTCTGGGAGGATTCTGTCATTGGTTGGAGAAAGAGAAACGGGGAGCAGGGAGAGGGAGTGAAGAGTGACAAGGATGATGTCCTAGGCCTAAACTTTTCCTACTTGTTTTAGCTGCAGTACCAGCAAATTTGGTGAAAGAATTAGCTTCCTGGCCAGGCTAGTGGGACTCAGACAAGGGTCTACAACACAGTTCACAGGACAGATGTCACCAGATCACCATCATTCCCCTTTTGCCTTCCTTACTGCCCAGTGAACATCACATAAGCCATGCACCTCCCTGACTCCACTTATGTCACCCACATCTCTGACTATTGGTCTTTGCGCTTTGTCCGTAGGAACTTCCACTACATCACCATCCTCCGAGACCCAGTGTCCCGGTACTTGAGCGAATGGAGGCATGTCCAGAGAGGCGCGACGTGGAAAGCATCCCTGCATGTCTGTGATGGAAGACCCCCAACCTCAGAAGAGCTACCCAGCTGCTACACTGGCGATGACTGGTCTGGTTGCCCCCTAAAAGAGTTCATGGACTGTCCCTATAATCTAGCCAACAACCGCCAAGTGCGCATGCTCTCTGACCTGACCCTAGTAGGCTGCTACAACCTCTCTGTCATGCCTGAGAAGCAGAGAAACAAGGTCCTCCTGGAAAGTGCCAAATCGAATCTGAAGCACATGGCGTTCTTTGGCCTCACTGAGTTTCAGCGAAAGACCCAGTATCTCTTTGAGAAAACCTTCAATATGAACTTTATTTCACCATTTACCCAATACAATACCACTAGGGCCTCTAGTGTAGAAATCAATGAGGAAATCCAAAAGCGGATTGAGGGACTAAATTTTCTGGATATGGAATTGTACAGCTATGCAAAAGATCTCTTTCTGCAAAGGTATCAGTTTATGAGGCAGAAGGAGCATCAGGAAGCTAGGCAGAAGCGTCAGGAACAACGCAAGTTTCTGAAGGGGAGGTTCCTTCAGACCCATTTCCAGAGTCAGGGTCAGAGCCAGAATCCGAGTCAGAATCCAAATCTGAATGCCAATCATAATGTGACTCAGAATCTGATTCAGAACCTGACTCAGAATTCAAGTCGGAATTCGAGCCAGAAGGAGAACCGTGAAAGCCAAAAGCAGAACCCAGGCCAAGAGCAGAGTGATGGCAACACTAGCAATGGCACCAATGATTACATAGGCAGTGTAGAGAAATGGCGTTAAATGGCTCCCAACGGCCTTTGCGTACTTGTCCCAAAGCGCCAGTAGAAATATGGCAGATCTTAAAACATGAGAGTTTCCAAACACATACTGCTTCCTTAAGTTTGGAAGTTAGAGAAAAAAGTAAAGATGTTGCCTTTACAGTTGCCTTTCAATTAAATGTTATACTGTGTGTGGGTAAAACAACTCTCAGTATGTAATTAAATTGTCTCTTTTTGGTTTGTTGGAGTATTTATAAAATCCAAAAACCAAACCAGACTTGCCAGAAATTGCTGTTTCGATATTTTAAGAAGTGCTTAAATTAGTCATAGAGACAAAATGAAAACATAAAATGTGGTCATTCAACTTATGGGTAAGAAACGGACTCCAAATCATTCACAATACACTGTTAAAGCTCAATCTTGGAAGCAAACATTTGTTTCCAGGGGGGAGCGTGAATATAAACATTAAAAAAAAAAACAACTAAAATTAACCACGAAACCTTTTAGTTTCTTCTGATTTTACCAAGGCATCTATTTAAATGGAATAAGAACTGATGGTAAATCTTACCATACCATAGATACGAAGATTTTTCTGTCCCAAACATGGGTAGTTTTATGTAAACACATTGGCTTTTCAAGTAGAACAGGATTTATATCTTGTTATTTAAGAGATGTTTAGAATTTAAACTTTTTCTACCTTCTACTGTCTAAAGGTTTTAAACAGGGTGTATCTCATAGTAAACAAAAACATTTTTCTCCCAAATGGAATACCAGTGTAAAGATCTAATTTTCAGACACTTTCTGGGCACTGTAATTTCAACAATTCTGGAATCTTTTTGGCGCTGCTTCTCATTCATTTTAAGGCTTCTCCGAGTTGTGCGCATTCCAAAATAACCCATTTATAGAATCTTTCTTCATCATCTAAATGGTGTGTTGCTGAGTTTCTTGTGATACATAATCCTGGATTAAAGTCAGGACTTTCTTTCTATAGGATTGTCTTATCAATGTTTGTATAGTGAGGTCCTTATCAAGAAACTCTTGAACAGGATAACGTGTCTAAAAATATTGCTGAAGTTATTCTTGATCAGATAGTATTGAACCTGAATGTGAGTGAATTGTTATTGACTTTTTGTACATTTTTATTGTACTGTTTCCTGTTGGGCTGGCTGCTTCTAGCCCATTTGTTCTTTTTTTGTGTGTTGACAGATTGTAGACAGTTACAAGAGGGGTAAAATGGTAGAATAAGCATTAGGATAGCCAGTTATTCAGTAACACCAAAAGCTGTCTGTCAATACTTCGGGTAACCCCCTACCATGTTCTGTTTTCAGAAGGAACAAAGAGAAAGAGTGCTCTGCAGAGAGGTTAAGTAGCAGGAGCATATGCATTGAGGAGAGTGATTTCATATTGTTAAGTCTCTGCACAAATTCTTTTAAGGTATCGGTTATGAATCGAGCAGGGCAAGAAGGAGCATGTCCCCCACTGTGCTGGCAAGCATCAGGATTCTGGGTAGTTTCCATTTTATGGGTTTTGCTATACTTTTGTAAGGACTTACACTAACTCCCTGCTGTCAATCCAACAAGCCACTTGGAAGTGGCATTTATGTTTTCAGGAGCGACATGCTTAGAAGTGTGAGGATAATGTCACATCTTGTACAATCTGCTGCTTATCTGCATGATCTAGTTTCATCTGTAATACTATGGCCATGAGCCGGACAAGGAGCTGAGTATTTGGGTTTAAAAATAAATGTTCTTGACGCTGAGCTTAGATTACTGTGTCTAAAGTTTGTTTTGTCTGACAGTGTTGCAGTCCTGGGAATCTGGAGAACTGAAAAACCGAAAGGAATTTGTTTAAAACCCGAACACACCTTGAAGTCCACGTGTTTTCAAGTGAAACTATTTTGTGTACATTGTGTTTTTAAAATAAAGATCCTGTAGATCACTGTGGTTATTTCAATCTTGTTTAGTTTCAGTTGACAATGTTTGCTCTTAAAACTGATAGGTACTGCTGGAAAGCAGGATGAAGCCGGAGCCAGTGGAAAAGCTTGTTACAGAAAAAACATTTTGTGTTATATTGCTGTGGTGTGCATGGCTTGCGGAGATTAAGTGCATTTTCTCTGTCTATACTGATTATTGTATATAAAGGTTATGATAAATATACATTTTTGTCATTATCATAGAAATCCCATGATTTCAACTGTAAACATCTGTCCAATGGTGTAGCTTTACAAACTATTTGCTGATTTTGTGTAATTTAACAATAGATATGAAATAAAGTTTAAATTACAGACTCTGAGTAATTTCATGATTTCAAGTTTATGACACCATGGACAGAATTCTCTTTTCTCAAGGAAGGTGTGGGGGCTTCCTTCTGGGAGTCCACGGTGTCTCTTCTTCTGAGTAAGACAAAGTTGTCAAGGAAAGACAAGAGTTGCTATGTCTCTTAGTCAGTGGACCACGATAGCAAAATACCATAAACTGGGTGGCTTATCAACAACAAAACCTTATTTTCCCACAGCTCTGGAGGCCGGAAGTCTGAGACCAGGATGCCAGCATGGGCAGCTTCCGGGGAGGGCCCTTTTTCCGTCGATGGCTGACTTCTTGCTGTATGGTCACATGGCAAAAAGTAGCGAGCTACTTCTCTGGCCTCTTCTTATAAGGGCACTAATCCCATTCATGATGCCTCCACTCCCCTGACCCAATGACCTCCCAAAGGCCCCACCTCCAGATACCATCACAATGGGGTTAAGGTTTCAACATATGAATTTGGGGAGACCCACACATTCAGTCCTTTATGGAAATTAAACATGTATGAGTTTTCACATAAATGTTCTTAAAGTAGATATTGCATGTCTACAAGCATGCAGAAAGGAAACATGGAGCCTTTTATTTCTTATCTATCCCCTGTCTACACCATAGAGGCTAATGGTAAGCTTTTAAGTATTGGCTTTTAAAGTTATGAACATAATATGATCTAATTATGTGTAAGGCACATACTTTTCAGAACAAACTTATGGTTTGGATTACAGATAGGGATGGCTTGCCCTTTACCTTCTCCAAAGAGAATTTAGGTATCAGTTGCATGGATTAGAAGGGAAGGAAGCTACAAATCTGGGGGCTTTAGCTATTTAATCTGGAAACTATTCATACTTAGAAAATTTTGCCCATCAACTATCTGTTGAGCAAGAGCTGGGTGGCCAATCGCCCTGATTGTATAACTTCCTTGGGAGGAACTCTGAACTTGAACAGAGGCCAAGAATTTGAAATAGGAAATAAAAGTTGCTTCGCTTTTCCCTTGAGGAGGGTCCTCTTGGAGAGCAGGGCACTCTTACTGAAGTGGGGAAAAAGGAGAAGCCTTGCACTATCTATGCTTCGGGGCACAAGATCAAGGTTGGCTTTGAAGGAAATGGACTATTGAGTTTGTCCAGAGAGGAACCGTAATGAAGAAAAAACTAGTTGGCCCAGTCCCTAAGGACTTGGGATTCTCAATAGGAGTTATAATCAAATCCAAATGGAGCTATCTTTGTGGGGGGTGGGGGTGGCAGTGAGTGGAAGGTCTGAAAGAGCTTTCACACTTGGGGGGATGATTTCCTTCTGCGGGGAGTGGAAAGAAGCATGAAAGCATCACACAACAGGCTTGAGATCTCCAGTTTCCCCACGTCTGAGATGTGGAAGAGCAACAGAGTAGTGGGCGGGGGGGTGGGGGTTGGTGTGCAGCCCACTGCTCTCCTGCCCTGTCCTAAGGAAGACGACCCCCTCTCTCGTCTTCACTAGGGATTCCACTAACCAAATGAACAAAAACTGGGTGTTCTATAAAAAGCATAACAAGACAGTGTTTGGGGACCCCAAGTGGCATCCCATGGGACAGTGGAATAAGGCAATCCTAATGTGTCAAACGGCAAGAATGAGGCAACCTGACAGGTTTCAACATCAAAGGAATCATATCAACACCCGAAAAATTCTAAAGTAAATTTATAATACATCAATCGCACCTTCACAAAAGTGCAAAGGCCTTAGAACTGCAGGAGAAAACTATCCTCAGAACAAAGTAAATCAACTATTTCTCAAGGCCTGTGACACTGTTGTGACCAGCTAGAGCCGGCATCCCAAAACTGTGAACTTGGGGCCAAATGCCACCCAGCACCTGCTTTGTTAATAAAATTTGATTGGAGCTTGGCCACACCCATTTCTTTACATGTTTCCTCCAGCCGCTCTCACATGACAGATACAAAGTTGCAACAGAGAGCATATGACCCCCAAAAGCCTGAAATACTTCTCTTCTTGCCCTTGAGAGAAAGAAAAAATTGGGCAACCCCTGTGCTAAAACAATCAAATGTCCTAAATAGCGAAATCCTGACAGAGTTTATAATGAGCCCAGAGACTGAGAGAATCAGGGGGTGTGATACAAATGACATGCTGCCCAATAACACAACATGGCAACACAACACTTATTGAATACCTATTACATGAAAGTCACTGCATTAAGCCTGAGAACAGGGAAGATTCTGATCTTTTGTCTCAGAATTATGGAAACCTAAACCAAATACTGTGTTAGAGAATATAGTTAAAAGCTTAATTAGTTCTTCAGTGTGTGTTTTCAATCACATCCTTGTAACAAATTGAAACAATAGAGGTACGTAAAGTAAAAAGTGAAATTACCAGCACAACTCTCACTGATTCAAAATAACTAGTGTAATTATGTGATTTCTTCCAGACCTCCTTGTTTTACCACCATTCAAATCTAATGTCTCTCTTTCCTCATCTCTCTCTCTCTGTCTACATGTGTCTCTGTCCCTGTCTCTGTCTCTCTCTCTCTCTCTCACACACACACAGACAATATGGATAACAAAAATGAAACCACAACATTCTCATTATTCAATTACCACCATCCTTTTTTGTTTCCAAGTTCAACAGCATATCATGGTTTTCCCTCCAAACCTGGAAAACAGTGGATGGTTACCCCTAAGCACCCAAATCGATTTTTGCTGGTGTAAGTTGACAGCATAGGTTCTGGATCCACACTGCCTGGGTTCGGATCCCAGCCCCACCACTTAACCAGCTTTGTGACCTTGGGGAAGTCACTAACTTCCGTATGCCTCAGTTTCCTCCCCTGTAAATGGATAAAATAATAGCTCCCACTTCAGAGGGTTGTTGTGGGCATCAAAAAGGTGATAATTTGTAAAGCAATTAGGACAGTGCCTGACACAGAATAAGCCTTTTATGTGTTGGATAGCATTATCGTTATGACTCTTGCCATTAGTAGGAAGGCTAGATGTCTGAGAATGCCTATGTCTTTAATAGCTGAACACTGACTCTGAGATCAAGAATTGAAAATATTGGCAAGAAAATAAGCAAAAAGTAGTGTATGTCCCATTGTGACTCATTTTTAAACACACCACAAGCATGAATCCCACAAATGACACAATGACTCTAAAAATATAAAATATATATGTCACAATTGTCACATAATTAAATATATAAA